TTCTGAGTTCTTGATGCGTGCATGTTCGTGGCTCGGCTCGATACCGTCAAGAGTCTCAGCCGACCTTGAGGTGTCCCGTGGAGCACAGTACATGTTCTCCACAAAGGTTGAACCCGGAAGGAATGCCTCGACAACCAAAGAATTCGGGCCGTTGTGGGAGAAGTAGGTGTTTCCTCACGGTGATCGGCGTCCTCTCAAATGTAAACTTGCAGTGAGCCACAATGATATTGATACTTATCACATACACTGACTCACATTGTCCTACTGCGTGTACCGCAGATACTAGCCTCACTGCGCGACATTCTATTTTCACGTCGCAACGCCTTGCCAACCACGCACGCATCGAACGTGCGACGAACACGCACAAGAAATTTCGTTCGGATCATCGTCCGGACATATCGAGCTAGTCGACCAGACAGTCCGCCGCCACAGGTGCCCATCCACCGTCCCAGCTTCAAGTTGGGCTCGCTCCGCCGCAAACGTGTCGATGAATGCTAAACTAGAAGCATAACTCACTGGACTTCGCGTTACCCGGGTCTGCTCCGGTACGCGTGCTTTTGTTGTCTGAAGCATGTTCTTGCTACGCTGGCGGAGGACGAGGCCAGGACCCAGCATTTCTGGGAGTAGACGAGCGCCAGTGGCTGCTCGCCGCAGACTCGGTGCCATCTCCAGGACTTGCGTGTCTTCCATGGCATAGGCGGATAGCCAGGCGGCCTCCTCAAGCTCCTGCACCCCGTCCCACTCGTAGCACACGCTCGCGACAAAGCAGAGTCGAGTGGGGTGCGCAGCACTGGCCGCGACGTATGCACGCTTCGTAGGTGCGACCCCGTACCCCGTCGCTGCTTCTTGAAGACGGCGGGCATCACTGAGATTATCCTCGGCTTAGCCGTCTGGGACCCGGGGTCAGACCATCATGCTGGGCTGGGCAATCATTCTAAGAATTCGTAAACGCCTGAGTGGCATCAGTACATGTTCCATGGGTAGGAGCGAATCTGACGTGGACGTAGGCAATCTGCATGAGACGTACGTTGAGCCTTTTCAACTGGTGGCATGATCTGCTGACTGTATTTCTCGTGGCTGACTGCGCTGCATGCGGAGGCGGGTCACACGTCATATATTCATAGGTAGGTACTTAGTATACCACCAGCAGACATCGACTCCAGACGCTACAGAATGGTCTGCCGGCGGCAACTATCTGACCTCATTGTCAGCAATTGCATACTGTTAGGCCTGCTTAAATGGCAACATACCTAGAGACCGCCATTTGACATCACCCGACGATTGCAAATGTTGAATGATCGTTCAAGTTTGCGAGTGCTTTGCAGTACTCATAGCTTGATCTGCAGATAGTTGGGATATATATTCATAATTCAAACATGGACTCCCACCTTTGCCAAGCCATTCGCAATTCTTCTGAGTTCTTGCTGATTGAAACAATCTGTAGGGACCGGTATAGAGACTGGCACTGGGCCATCAACAAAAGTCTGCGGCGAGCCCCACGCAGCGCGGTCTACGCTTGGAAGAAATGCCTCGGCGTCCATGAACACTTCTGGCTCACCCACAACATCGTATGCGACACAACGGCTCACACTGTCATGAAAAGCGAGCCAGAACTTCGCTTCTCCTGGACGCCTCAGCCAGCTGGACTGGCTCCAATAAGCCGAATGAACGACAGGTGTTCCAGTTTCCTGCGCGGCATCACCGCCACGTAATATGACGTCTCGGCACTTCCGGCAATATACCAAGAGACGACGGTATGCGACAGCGGAAGCAGACTCCATTTCTGGGTAGTAGGCATCGGAGGTCTCGTACACAGAACGCATGGCTGCATCTTTGGCCACGTCGTCCCAATTGTACTGCGTCGCCAGCAGGTAGAGACGCACGGGTGAAGCGCCGGCAGCCTCGACACAAGCACGTTTGGCGAACGCGACTGCTCGTGCCACCTCGTATTTCTTCGCAGCCGCCAACACAGAAAGGGCGTCCTTCAGCCTGGTGTCTGCGAAGCCCGTCTCGGTGAGCTCGGGGTCAGGCATGGGGTAAGACAGCTGGAAGAGTTTCGAAAGCGTCCGTCCATCCTCCGGGAAACGGTGCGTCGCCACGAAGGTGGGACTGGCTGGCGCGCTCTCTGGGGCGCCGGATCCCGTCGTCGTGGAGGACACTGAGAGCGACTTAGCAAGGACTGGTGAAGCGAAACTGAGCAGCGAGCGATTCACGTAGAATACCGCGTTGTCGGATGAGCGAATAACGGTATCCGCGTGAGCGGTGTCGTAAAAGGGATGAGGTAGTCGTCCGATAGCCATCTCGGTCCCGCGAGCCTTTTCGGTGTCTCGAGGACGTGATACGATACGCCTTACAGCGGCCTCTGTGCTTGATCGTAGCGATTCCAAGGTTCTAGCAGCATGGTGTTGAAGAAGTCGGTAATACACGCCTGCGGGTAAAGCATCCATTCCTACAGAATACTCATCGAGTGGATGGGCCCGCCGTGGCTTCTCGGCGGTCGGTTTGGAACCACGCGATGCGGCTTTGTGCCCGGACTGCCATCTCGTGAATTCGCAGACTGCTTCTTCCACCATGTCTTCCAGATTCAACTGGTATGCGACTGCGAAGACATCCAGGGGCGTCATATGAATGCGAGACGACAATGACTTGCTCATCATGGCGGTGCCGATCGGCATCTGGTACTTGAGTGCCGCGCTAAGGACATGCGCCAGAGTATGAGCTTCAATGGAGGACGTTTCAGGTCTGTCGACCCGGTAGCACGTATACAGTAGTCGCTCGAAAGTCTCACTGTCCTCCGTGACCGGGATGGTCGGTATCTCAGCGCGACCGGCAACCGGCGAGTCAGGAGACAGCGGTTGCGGCAAGGAGAACATGTCGGCGAAGAACGCCGACGCGATGCGTAGGACTGCCTTATGCAGGTAGAAACGCGTCCCGTCTGCAGTCTGCAGCACGACGTCGGCGTCTGAGTAAACGTTGTCGAATGGATAAGGCGCGATCTTGACGAGGCTATCCTTGCTCTGATCGTTGCCTAGGGAGGCGGTTTCGTAGTTCGGGATAGTGGGTGAAGACGGAGCGAGCGTAGGCGCTGCGCTGTCAATCGGGGTTGACATGATGTGTGTGCTCCTGCGAGCGAGCGGTGTTTCAGTATATCATGACTGACAGACTGACAAAAATTGTGCTGACTTACTAGAGCTGGTCCTAGGTAGAACGTGAGGAGCCTCGAAGAGAAGGGAGTGCGCTCATCTTATATGAAGACAACGCCCCAATGCTTCCAAATCGACATCGATCCTCGAGGCAAAACCGTGGCCTTGAAACTTTACTGACTTGACTAAGCACGCGTCTTCGACGTTCGCAATCTGCAGCTTCTGAGCCTGCCTTGTCACCGCGTCGGCATTCTCCTGCGTGTCGAAAAACCACTCAAGCAGTAGCCCCATCTCCTGTCCAAGGGTAGATATGATATGGGGCGGCAGATATGGCCAGTTTTGGTGTGCAGTATGTAATGCCGCAGCATAATGCGGTCAGTTGGCACCCGGATATCAATCGACACATATTGACTCACCAGAACGTATGCCGGCATCTGGCTCATACAAAAGGAGGACGTCTTTGGCATCTAAGATCGCCCAGTGGACCATAAATTCCAGTCTGACGGAGCGCTCGGTGACCGCTGGTGTTAAGGCATCATGTTGGCTGGTCTCGTACCCATCCGTGTGGACGCACGCCACCACCGCTCCGACACCGGTGGTGGGGTGCGTCCACACGGATGGGTACGAGACCAATGTTGGCCGGCCGCCGTACTGGGTTTGAATGTACTGTTTCAAGGGATTAGCTAGAGTCTGAGCTATCCTAGACTCTGCAACAACGCGTCACGGAGACTGAGTGCTGCGTCCTGGGTATTGCGCTGTACTGTTGAGTACTTGAGTACTCGTGCTGGAGAGGTTGTGGCAGACACTTGGCCCAGCTTGGCATGATCCCCGACTCCGACCGGAGGGAGAGAGGAGGGCTTTGTCCACCCTAACTTGAGACGATGCCGGCGATGCCGCTCCCTCCGTGGGAAACACGTGACTTGCAGCTCCCATAAACGGTATTGCAGCAATGCTCGAGTGTCCTACGAGGCAGCTCGAGGCAGTTGGATCCTTCCGTGCATCTGGCTGTGTCTGGACGCCTGGATCTCTGACCATCAAACGACTCCTCCCAAATGCAGGAGAGTTTCTCTCATTTTTGATACTACAATGATAGCCTGCACTTAAGTACAGACTTATGTAAGTACTGTGATACATACTGAGTCATGGAAGCCCGAGACGCCCGGGCGGCGAAGCCGCCGCGGGCGTGAGGGCTTCCAATTGACACTGGGGACAAACTGGCTTGTGCGGAACCCTAACATTGTAAGTAACCATCGTAAAACCGTGTATATTAGGTGGAATACCAAAAATGACATATGGAAGGCAGCCTCAAATTGAAAGGCGCGGCCTCTGATTGGCTGGCTTTCAATGTTAGGGACGAGAAAATTAGTTGTGTTCAATTATCTACCTAATATACACGGTTTTACGATGGTAACTTACGATGTTAGGGTTCCGCACAAGCCGGTTTGTCCCCAGTGTGAGTCTCCATATCACTCCGATGGTACAATATTACAATACGTACATAATATACTCTGGTGCTGCTGTGACAGGCTGAGTAGCTGTGTTCCATGCAGGAGTCGGGGATCGGCGCTTGCGCCGCTACGATGCATGATGCGGCACGATGCGAGTGGCTGATTATGTAATCAGCATGCCACAGTTGTTCAAAGTCAACGTTCAAACGTGTAACGTTGACAACGTTGAAACGAACACTGAATACTATTCCTGAATACAGTACAACGCGTATGGCATCTATTACAGTATGGTTGCGGATAGTGAGTCTGACATAAGTACCTGGAGACCGTTCAAGTTGCTTGACCGATTGTGGTCTGGGTCCTGGTACTGAGCTACAGTGTAATCTGCAGATCACTGAGATGTGCATTCAAATAAGCATCAAATCTCGGACTCTCACCTTCGCCAAGCCATTCGCGATACGTCGTAGTTCCAGCTGACTCGAATGAACCTCTGGGCTCGGGGACCTTGATTCAAAGTCGTCGATGTCGGGGGACTGACTCGGAACCGGATTAGATAGTATCGCCCGAGCAGCACTCCTCCTGTGCCTTTCCACGATCACAGAGCTCGGAAGGAGTGCATCGACGTCCATGAGTAGTACAGGTTCGCCGTTCTTGTAATCAACACAGCGGTTCACACGTTCATGGAAGGCGAGCCAGAACTTCGCTTCTTCCGCACGCTTCAACCAGCTGGTCTTGCTCCAATAAGCCGAACGCGTGCTGGTAGCTGGTCTGGGCTCTTGCTCCGTGGCACCGCCAGAGAGTATGACGTCTCGGCAACTCCGGCAATATACCAAGAGACGACGGTATGCAGCCGCGGAGGCAGACTCCATCTCTGGGCAGTAGGCGTCCGCAGTCTCGTATACTGCGCGCATAGCCGCATCTTCGGCTACATCGTCCCAGTTGTACTGGGTCGCTAGCAGGTAGAGCCTCACAGGAGAAGTGGTGGCTGCTTCGACACAAGCTCGTTTCGCGAACGCGATCGCTCGTGCGACCTCGTATTTCTTCGCGGCTGCCAACAGGGCGAGAGCGTCCTTCAACCTAACGTCTGACGAGTTGGACCCTATGGGCTCGGGGTCAGGCATGGGGTAGGACAGCTGGAACAGCGTTGATAGCGTCCGACCGTTCTCGGGGAAATGATGTGTCATCCTAGTGGCGGAACTGACTTGCAAGCTCTCTGAGTCAGATGCTGCCGTTGTAGCGGGTGCAGAAAACAATTTGGCAAGGACCGGTGACGCAAAGCTGAGCAGATAGCGATCCACGTGGAAAACGGCGTTGTCGGATGAGCGAATGATGGTATTCGCATGAGCAGTATCGTGGAAGGGATGGGCCAATCGCCCCATAGGCGTCTCGGCTTCCTGGAGGATCTCGAGGTGGTGAGGGCGAGCAAAAATGTGCTTGACGGCAGCTTCCGCGCCTGATGGTAACGATTCCGATGTTGTAGTAGTATGATGATCAAGGAGTCGGTAATAGACAGCGGCCGGGATAGCATCCACGTCGGAGGAATAATGATCGAGGGAATGAGCGCGGCACAGGTGTGCCTTGAAGCCAGGTGTGGGGATGTTTGAATGATTTGTATCGGCCCACACTGGCAATGTGTACCAATGAGTAAATTCGTGGATTGCCTTGGCTCCAATCTCTTCCAGATCTAGCTGGTACGCAACGGCGAATACGGCGAGTGGAGACATGCTACAATGGGACGATAGCGACTTGGTCATCAATCTGGTGACCACGGGCATCTGGTACTTCAGCGCTGCGCCGAGGATAGGGGCCACAGTCTGGACAGAGTCAGACACCTCAGGCCTGTCGACCGGGTAGCACATGCGTAGTAGTCGCTCGAGAGGTTCACTGTCCTCCGTGACTGGGATGGTCGGTATAGCATCGGGGCCGGTCTCTGAACCCGGAGATGGTGGTTGCGGTAAGGAGAACATGTCGGCAAAGAACACCGACGCGACGCGCAGGACAGCCTTGTGAAGGTAGAAACGCGTACCGTCCACGGCCCGCAACACGACATCGGCGTCTGAAAACGCGTTGTCGAAGGGATAAGGCGCCGTCTTGACAAGGCCATCCTCGCCCGGGGTTCTGCCTGAGGCTGCGGACTCGTATTGCGGGATAGTGGGGGAGGATGGAGTGAGCGTAGGCGCTGAACTGTGGATCGGGGTTGACATGATGTGTGTGTTCCTACGAGTGAGCAGGTCTTCAAATTGTTATTATTGACTAACAAGGGCACAAAATTTGTATCGACTTACTAGAGCTCGTCCTGGGGAACGGTTGAGAGGCCTCGAAGACGAGGCAGTGCACACATCTTATACGAAGACGACACCCCCGAATCACTGCTTCCAGGTTTACATCGATCCTCGAGGCAAAATCGTGGCCTTGAGAAACTGAATTGGCTTGACTAAGCACGCGTCTTCGCTCGCAATTTGCATCTTCTGGGCCGGTCTCGTCAACGCGTCGGCATTCTCCTGCGTGTCAGAGAACCAGTGCAGCAGTGAGTTAGGTTCGGAAGCAGCGAGGCCACGTCCTGTACAAAGGGAGATATACTATACGTGATGCCCCAGCATATTGAACTCAGTCAGCTCGCACAAAGATAACTGTCAATCGATACGCATCGACTCACCACAATGTGTACCAGCATGTGGTTGCCGCTGGTGCGAGCTGGGAAGATGTCTTTGACATCGAAGTTCTGCAGATCACCCGAAACGCTTGACCGGTTGATCACTTAAGCACCCAGGGGGGCTTTGTGGGAGGAGCGACGGAAGTAGCTTGTGTGTACTGGACGCTGTTCTCTCGCAATAACTATCAGTACTGCATAAGTGTCGGTGTTGCTATATGCTAAGTTACGCATTGGCGAAGCGTTCGATGTTGAACGGTAAGGTTGCTAATCTTCCTGAGAATACGGTCAGATCACAGATATCCAAGGAAAGGGTGATGATTAGACTAAGTACAAAGAGCAGATACGAGATGAGAGCGATGATAGAGCGATACACACAGCAATGCAAAGTATACCTTCAGAAGAAAGTGGACAAGACAACAGAGATGATGGAATGCTAAGGCAACATCGCGACACCCAAGACCACAATGCTTTGGCTTCTGGTCGTCGCGGGAGTGTCATGATCTCCCAGAAACCTTCATATCGCGCCCGCGCATGAGATGCTCGATCGTCACATTCATAGTGCCTGCCTCGGCCGTGAATGTGTAATCACTGTCTCCATCGCGGAAGACGACGCTTGCACTGACAAGTGAGCTCGCTACGTCTCGCCCCTTGAAGATCCACATAGGGATCGGCACCCAGAATCGCAACGCCCAGCCGCCACCGAGACAAGTGCCTGGGATACCCGGCGGGATCCACTCCCAAGAGACGGCCGTGTAGATGCCATTCGCGGGGTTCATGCGTCGGATGACTTCATGGCGCACCAGCAGGCCCCCAAGGAAGGACGTCGCGTATATAATGTCATCCGTCATGTTGGGAATGCGTCGGCAGGAATCGACGGTGTGCCAGTCAATGGACAGGGACTCGACAGGCAACAGAGGAAGGTCGGCAGTTTGAGCTTTCGCGTCCTTGACGTAGAGTACCCCTTCCAAAGCGTACGTGTGGCTGTCGATGAATGCGGACGATCAGTATTTGCGCAAACGCACGCGAGTACACGTTACGCCACGTACTTTATGTCCACATCCCACATCACGATATGTTTGGTCTCCAACTTGATCGATACCTCGAATCGTTCGTGGAGCTGCAAGCACCCAAATGCCGAGCGGGCGAACGAGTTCAGGGATCTAGCGGCCTCGTCTTCATCCGAAATAAGGTCAACTATTTCGCTAAAGCCCGTGTCTCGAGCCCTAGTTGGCAACCCAGCGACTTCGCTACCAGGAGCCATCCATGCGAAGAGGCCGTCCCTTGTAGTGGTGGGGAACATGATGCTACCGTCAAACTCGTCATTCTCGTCCAGTTCTCCCCAACGACCATCGTCGTGGCCGTCACGATTGTCCCCATCGAACCGTAGATCCCTCATGGCATGACACCTCTTCAAGGTTCTCCTGCGTTTCTCGGGAACGGGAGCGGTGTGATGTTTGGTGGATCTCGACTTGTGTTCCTTGCCAGCGGTGAGAGTGTCTGCCCGGATCGTAGCGATGGACTCTCCGGAGTCGCAGCGCGGGCGGATATAATTGACGCGCCCGCGATCGTCCTTCTCTTCGTCTTCAAGAAGCCACTCGGGGGATTCGTCTTGCTGGGCAGAATTCGTGTGCAGAAGGAAGGCTACGCCGGAAGCATCGGGCGATGTGGGGTCGGAATTCAGCGAATCCCGCAGGACGTTTTTGGCCGCGCGCGCCGACTTCAGGCGGTTGATCATGGAGGCGAGGAAAGAATCTGATGATTGACGCGGCATGGTTTCGACAATAGGAGGGGGATTGATTGTCGCGCAGCTCGTTTCGCAGGGAAATGGGATGGACGAGCCGTTGGTCGGGTGTTGGTCGCGGCGAACCGAGGGATAATACAATGCCCGTCTGGCCGCAGCGCGTGTCAGGAGTCGCGAAGGTTGATCTGCTCGCTGTGATGCAAAAAGTGTGGACGGTAGGGCAATGAGAATGTCTCGAATTGCGGGGCAGCAAAGGAGCACGATTCACCAGATTGTGGCTACATCCCCGGCCCGGGATGCTGCCGTCCAGCCACAGGCGCGACGCGCCCCGCCGCTAATCGATCACGAGAAAGTCCCGCGCAACGCACATTTGAGAGTCATAGTCGTACCATCACTCGTAGCACAAAGTGATGGTCTTGACCGGCTTGCCTGCGTATGTTCCCGAGAGCGTGAATCGGCATTTTCTGGGCTGGAATGTTGTGCAATAGACGGGCTGTACGGAAAGGGAACCTGAGAAAGACAATCGGGCGCGTTGAGTGCTGTGTATGCCACGCTACTGGACGTTTGCTCGCGCATTTCATGCCGTGATGAGCTGATCAATGTTATCCCCTTGTCAGTCACCTATATCCCAGTAAAATGGATAGCGACACAAAGAACGTATGTGTATACATGGACCTGTAGACCAAAGGGAGATCAGTCCCAGCCAATCACGTCCAGACCCCGTGATCAATGCAACACATGAAAGCGCCCACACAAAATCGCTCACCTGCGAGTCCCTCGCTGCGATCTTGCGTTCTTCTGTGTCCATCATCGCACCATCGACACCAGCCCACACATCGCATATCAGTACGCAAGTACCGTCCTGCGCGTGCTATACCCCAGTGGTGCTTCACGGCCCCTTCTACGTCGCATACTGCCACTCAGATCACCTCGCCACTGGTGTCCTACTCGGAGTAAGCCTCAACTGTCTCGCGTCGTTGCTTCATAGCTGACCATGCAGCGTTGTAGTATGAGCTCCAGAGTACCAGCAGCGAATGGGCTGTACGCCCACAGCCCAGACGAGAACATCTGGCGCCGCGCTACACCGAGCAATTGGGCACCACACAGCGCGACTACGCACCAAGACTCCGCCAACCAGGGCATGTACCTGAGACCAAACCAATATACGGCGACGAAGCCACGTCAGGTTAGTGACAAACATTGATCCGTAATATGGTTTGGCCTCACCTCAACTAGCCAACCCTGGAAGACATCTTCTACGGCCGCCTCATGGCCATCGAAGACAGCCTCATGCTTGTGTCATCCGAGCCAGTGTCCCTGGCAGGCGTCAAGGCAGAGATGGCTAAACTCGAGATCCAAGTCTCCGAGAATACAGCACTGGAGTGGGCCTATAATCACGTAAAGGTCTCCTGCATGGTAAGTCCGAGCTGCACTCGAGGCGAGGCCATGTATTAGCAAGCCCTTGTCGAAGCAACAACACTTGCTGATGGCAATTCCTTTGACAGCTGGCGATCGAGCTTGAAGCCGCCGTAGCGCCAACGGTCATCCCGTCGACACCAGCGGGTGGCACACAGCACACCGGCGCATGGGGCGACAACGATATTGTGGAAACTTCCACAACAGTCGACGAGGCGGAGACTACGGCTCAACGCTCCTTGCAAAGGACCCTGGGCGACGTCACATGGAAGGACGAAGAGGTCATGGAGACATCCACGACCATCGACGAAGCGGAGCGGACGGTTGGGCGAGCCCTCCGGAGGGCCGTGGGGGACGGGCGACCGACCACCCATCAACGGACGAGTTCTGGGAGCACGCAGAGCTCCACCAGCCTCGAGAGCCTCGCGACACGCGATGATGAAGACGTCGGCTTGCAAACGAGGACTGGAGCTGATGTCGCAGTGGTTCGTCGTCGAAGCCGCCGCCGCAGACACAGGAAGCGGGCATCCGTGCGGCGGTAGTCGCCGTCAAGCTGGCCAACGCACTAGTTACAATCTGGTACGTCATGGTCCATTCGTTTTCCGGTGTTGTCAGGACTGAGGGATCCGTCTTCAGGTTGGCTCGCAATTATTTATGAACAAACCCGACGGCGAGCAGAATACCAGAAGCCTGTGTCGCCAGCGGGGTAAAGGGTGGACAAAGCAGACCCGATTGGGATCCGACGACAGGGGAGGATTGTTCCGCGCCGTTCGCGCAATGTATAATGGTGTACTTAGAGAGCTTCCCATGATATTTTCGACTGTTCTTGAGACGTACCACAATGGTGTGTAAGCAAACCTACGCAAAGAGTGAATAAGCCTATCAATGGCACCGTCTTTTCGAAATTGGTTTTACCTAGGGGAAGCAGGCGCGACGCGTCGTGATCTCGTGACCGACGCGTCGAGACTCACCGGCGCATAGACGCCCATCAGAACGAGAGCCTTGCCACTTGCGATCACCCTTGCTGCTCATTCTCCATCGTAAAGGCTTCGAACAGGCCACGAACCCACGAGATCAGGTACAGGCCACCTGCAGAAGACAACGTCGTCATCAACGGACACCTTAGCATGCGTACATACGGTCGACGGACTCGCTGCCGTGGCGGAGGTGCGCCCTTGTTGGTCGCGTCGTCCTGGGATATCCGCTGGGACATCCGCACCCACGCATGTGAAGACGAGTAGACGATCGCTTCTTGAAGGTGTCTACAACGATCCGGACGCATGTCGGTGGGTAGTTAGGCGTTAGCTTCGACGCCTATTATCGGGAGGGCCGCTGGAGAAGACGACATCAAACTGCCAATCAGTTGGTCACTTGGACTTGCCATGATCGTAAATGTTTGTTCTTACCGTGTACGCTGAAGTTGACCCTCCAACGTAACAGATATGTCCAGATCTGACACATGCAAGCGGCGGAAGACAGCGTCACTCCAGCGACGGCAGA